ATTCTGGGTCTCCATATGAATTTTAATATAGTTTTTTCTAGATCTGGGAAGAATGTCATTGGTATTTTTATTGGAATCACATTGAATCTGTACATTGCTTTCAGTAATATGGATGTTTTGATGATATTGATTCTTCTAATGCATGAACATAGAAGATTTTTCCATTTTTAATGTCCTCTTCTATTTCTTTCCTTAATGTTTCACAATTTTTATCATAGAGATCTTTGGTATCCTACATTAAATTTATCCCAAGGTATTTAATTCTTTTTGTAGCTATTATGAATGGGATTGATCTTAGAAGTTCTTTCTCAGCCATGGCATTGTCTATTTATACAAAGGCTATTGAATTTTCTGTATTGATTTTCTATCCTGCAACTTTACCAAACTCTTTTATGAGTTCCAATAGTCTCAGTTGAGTCTTTTGGATCCCCTATATATAGAATCATGTCATCTGCAAATAGGGATAGTTTGACTTCTTCCTTTCCTATTTATATCCTTTTGATTTCTTTTTCTTGCCCAAATGCTCTGGCTAAAACTTCCAGGACTATATTAAATAGCAGTGGTGAGAATGGGCATCCTTGTCTGCTTCCGAATCTCAGTGGGAATACTTCCAAGTCTTTCCTATTCAATAAGATGCTGGCCGTGGGTTTGTCATAAGTTGCCTTGACTGTGTTGGATTTCATCAATCTCTTCATGTTCATAGTGTTGAAATGTTGTTGTGTTCCTTTGGTGAGGAGGTCAATGGTGTCTTCCTTATTCCTATTTCTTGAATTTATTTATTTATTTTAGGCATTTGTGGAGTTAATTGTTGTTTTTTTTTCCTCTAATGGTTGTTGTCTTTGAGCTAGTCCTCTGTGGCTTAGTGGAATGTCAATTTTCAGTGAGTACCAATAGGTATTTTCTGGGTATGGCTGGGAGCTCTGGTCAGTGCTCCAGGGTGGGGTGTGTATCCATGGTAACAACCAAGTTGGATATGGTAAATCTCCTCTTGTAAAAGGTGAGAGATTTATACAATCTGAAGAGAAACCAGGGTATATTATAAATCTTTTGTTAGCAGAAGGATAGGAATTGTCACCTCTTGATGTGATCACTCCATTACCTCCTCTCCTCCAAGCTGAGCAATGCCCTAATGTTAACCTCCAGTGTGTTCAACACTCATCTGTGCCACCATATGAACCATAAATGATCTGCAAAGTCCTCACTGTGAGCACAGTTCTTGCTACAGTGACCCACCCCAGGCAACCAAGGAGCTCCAAGCGTGTAGCACAACACCCAGTGATTGCCCAGAGACCCAGCTACACCCTGCACCCTCTCCTATAGCCATGGAGTCTCTGCAGTCTCAGCATACAAGTCTCCCACAGTCATTGGGTGCAGACGTTTTTCTGCCAACCTGTCCAGTCAACAGAGAGACAGATGTTCCCCAAGTCAGCTCCGCCTAGGTGTCTTGATCCCTGGAGTCTGTGATATGTTGGGAGGCCTGGAGTGCCTCACAGTCCTACATGGCTGCCCAAGCACCTGTCAGTCCTCCTAGCTAGGCTCAAAGTCAGTGGAGACTCCAGATGTTTACCTCTGCTAGAATCTCTGGATCACACTCGTATGTACACAAGAGGCACTGGCCAAATGTTGACCTCTCCCTACCACTGCCACCAGTACTGCCCAGATGAAGGAGTCCTGTCCCAGCCAGTTGCTGTGCACGTGCACAAAGGCTTCCACAGCTGCCGCCCAAACCCTTTCTCAGCTGGGCAGCAGGAGCTGTTATGAGGAGACAGGGTGATACTTCCACTGGGTCCGTGGGTTCCCACTAGTAACTGCTAGCCCATGAGGCTCCAGTTCTGAGTCACACCACTCTCTGCCTCTGACTATATCACCATGGATTGCTGCTGTCAGGTCTCACCTCCATCTTCAAGCTGCCATCTGATTGCTCTTGGCTGCTGCAGTCGTGTGTTGTGTCCATGTTCGTGCTGTGCGTCTGCACTTTCCTCACAGGTCTACAGCACTCTCCTTCCTTTTGGAAGATTTCCAGTGCCATTCTTCTCTCTAATTCTCACCTGAGAGTGTACTTCTTATACTTGTTCTTTTTTCTTTTTCTTTTTTCGCACTGTTTATCCCTAGCCTAGCACAGTGGGTCATTCCCTAGTGCACCATCTTGGAATCTCCCTTCTCATTCATTTTCTAAATTCTTCTTTTGCCTTATTTTTCTCTGGTGATGACTTTAATGAAAAGCTTAAAATTGTAAAAATCTTAAAATTGACACAACTAACCTAAGGTAGCAAGAAATCTTGACATAATTTTAAAAATATGAGATAAGGTACCATATAAATTGCTAAAATACTTTTAAACAACAAATTTGTATATTCTTTCTCATAGCTTCATTAGAAAATATATTGCTTATATAATTTGTTTCTATATCTATAAAGAAAAGCATGTATTAACTCAAAATGTACTTGGAAATAAACTTTCTTATGAAGAAAACTTTGTTGTAGTCACTGTCATAACTGGGTACTATCAAACAGTGCAATGGGCTGTGTGTTTTATTTTCTGTTAATATGATGTTTTAGCCATTTTAATACCGAATATTAGTTTATGTTATGTAATTCTAAAGATATTTTTAAAAATATATTTTTATCATTGGATTTAATAGTGACATTAATTTTGTTTTCCCAATTTGTCAATACAGAGGTCTTCAAACAGTACATGGAAGATGAAATCAGAAGATCAAGTTTAATGTAATGCCCCCAAAATTTGAAATCCATATATATGAGGTATATTCAATATAGTGCATTCACTATACATGAATTTCAAAAGATTTTGCCTCAAAATAGACATCTTATAATTCCATTTTCCATGGACTTTCTGAAGTACTTTTGAAAAATGCTTGCTGTTTTACTTTCACTATACAGGAACATAATTAACTTAGGTGATTTGACTGGAAAATTAAAGCCCATGTAAGATCAAGTCATTTAAGTGATTTGACTCTTTATGGTGCTCCTGATGCTGGATGTAGCTTCTGCCAGATGATCAGGGAGGGTCCTTCAGAAGCAGGCTAACAGTGACGACACACTCATCTGGGCATCTTGGCTTTTGAAAACCAGAAACCTATCTAGTTTCATACAGACAATACCTTAGTTCAGTCATTCCCTAAATGACACAATCGACTTGGTCTCTACCATTATATTTCCAGATTTTACATTGCCTTAATTCTCTGCAGGTTTCTACAACATTTGAAGCAGTATGTGTAAGCCTTTTTTGGAACTAGAATTGAGGAGAAGGAAAAATTGCCTAAGAGGATGGTGGATAGGGAAATACTGTATTTATAAATAATGTATCTATTACAGAGAAGACAATTTAATGATTTTATTAACAAGTATTCTTTGTGGTTGCTTTACCACAATAGGATACGCATAAAGAAATTCATTATTCCCTAAGTGCTCATCCTTGTTCCATCTTCACATGGAAATATTTATAACAACATCCCTTCTTCTTCCATTGACTTGAATGTTTCCATCACAAACTCATCTCAGTTCCACATTGTATTAATAAGAGTCTTCATTTTTAAATACCAAGGGAAAATTATTGTTATAATGATTAAGTTAAAATGGTTAAGTTCCAAGTGAATTCTAGCATAAATTTTCTTATTGATAATCAAAGATATTGGCTGCTTCACTAAAAACAGGCATTTAAATTTTCATTTATTTGAATCTTGAAGCAGTTATCTTTCTTTCTTTTTTCTTTTTTCATTCTCACCACAATTATATTTCCTCAGGTTTCTCATCCCTATCCCTTCAATTTGATGCGAATAGATAAGAGGAAATTGGAGTAACAAGAAAGAGCCATTTTAGAAAAAGCACAATGTTTCACTATATCTTGAAACTCCACTCAGCAACCTTTGAGCAGTTTTGTTTTCATTTAGGAGAGATATGAGGCAACTTTAAAAACATAGGAGATTATTCTTTAAAATCTAAAATTTTGCCTTCTCCTTAAAAAAATGCTTGGTAACTCTGGAACCTAAACTACAACTGATAAGGATGATTTATAGTTATCCCTACTAAAAGCTCATTGCCCATAACTAACAACTATAATCATTACTCATGATCTTCTATATTTACTGATTCAAGATTAGAAATCTGTCTTTATAAAAAATTTAATCCATCCATGTGTTTCTATATATTCATCGTGTGTGTATGGGTGTGTGTAGTAATAGATTGGACTCAATAAAAACTCTTTTTAGCATAAAAATTATTCTTGAAAATACTATCTTGGGGGCCAGCCCTGTGGTATAGCTGGTAAAGTGCCATCTGCCGTGCTGCCAATTCCATATGGACACCGGTTCAAGTCCCGGCTGTTTCATTTCTGATCCAGCTGCCTACTGATGTGTCTAGGAAAGCAGCAGAGGATGGCCCAAGTCCTGGGCACTTGTACCTACATGGGAGACTTGGAAGCAGCTTCTGGCTCCTGGCTTTGGACCAGCCCAGCTCCAGCTGTCGTGGCCATTTGAGGAGTGAACTAGTGGATGGAAGAGCTCCCTCCCTCCCTCCCTCCATTTCTCTCTCTCTGTCTCTCTCTCTCTCTCTCTTTTTCTCTCTGTAACTCTTTCAAATAAATAAATAAATAAATCTTTTTAAGAGGCAGATAATATCATAAACTGCTATTTTATTAAATCTCCTTCTTTCTTTTCTGCCCTCACTTCAGCTCATTAAAGATGTAACATCTGCTTTCCCATCTAAACTCGTTTTCTTGCATATTTCAAGGGTATTTGTAAGATATATATATATATATATATTTCCCTTTTATACTCTTTACAAAGTTGGAGAATATATCTATCTCTTTAGATACAGACTATTTGTATTGTATTATAGTATGAAAGTTTATAGAGAAATAAAATAAATGAAGGGAGCTGACGAACCCTGACATTGCAGCTGAAGAAAGCAGCACACTGTGGGATTGGGGAATGCTCCATGCTGTTGAGTGGCATTTTACAATCAACACTTTCCCCTTTTCAGGATATCGAATCCCTAACAGGAGGGCTGACTGGTTCTAAAGGGGCTGATCCACCGGTAAGTTAGATTCTTCATTAAAGTTAACTGTTGATTAATTGAATTCTGAATTGATCATCAGACAATTGCTTCAATACTAATTGGTCATGTAGAGGTACTTTTTGGAAATATGATTCATATTCACTAATACAAAAGTATAAACTTGCTTTGAGGTATGATCTGGTGTCTCACTATTTTTAGTAATTTATAAAATTCACATGCATTTATTGACAATAAAATTGGGACAAAATCCTCCTTAGAATAAAGAGGGTTAATAATTATATTCTACTAATGTTCTATACCAACATGAAAGTTTGCCATTCTAAATGAGTGTAGGATTTGGGTTATGATATATTTTCCAGTTACTGAGAAAAATTAAGTCTATGTTATAAATATTATTATTCTCAATAGTATTGTTTATTTCCTATCAGGTAAGATTCTAGAAATTCAGATAAAATGCTCTAAATATATTAGGATTCTTATATTTAAGTAATAACAAGAGTTTGATGGTTCAATATTGGAATATCTTAGCCCTTTCTATATTGACTGATTTCAGAAAACATTGGTTAAGAGAACATTTCTGTGACTTTAGGCTTGAGAATTCAAGATACATATCTAAATTGATAAGATGGATTCAATTTATTTTTAATGAATACTCAATGCATGCATTTCATGACAGTTTGCTTTTTACTTAACATAAGTTTTAATGAGGAACACACAGAACCCAGTATGACCAATTTTTAGCTATATTTTACACATTCATCTAAGTGAGAAACATAATTCCGTTAAATACCAATGAGATGCTGAATATATAATTTTTAGTTGCAGCTCTTTCTCTCCTCTCTCACTTTCATGTCTCATAATATTGTCTAATCTTCATATTTCTCCTGAGGTATGAATAAACAATATATTGCATTTCTTTCATTTCCTTTTATTTTTATCATCTGCATTTTAAGTGGAAATATATTAGATTTAGATAACTGCCTATATTTACCTCCTAAAACATTGCAGCATAAGGCAAGATGAAAAATGGAGTCAATCCAGAAAGTATATTGACAGGATTTATAGCCAGGCATATACTTAAGTGTTGTAGGTGACTGCATATGTGATGTGATTTCACCCTTATGCCTTGCAGAGTGCTTGCACAAAACATTCAACATACAACAGAACAGTAAATCCGTTTTTTTAGAAATACTTCTCCCAACTGTACTTTGACTTATGAAAGAACTCTGCAATTAGAGATCAGTTGGTTTTAAAAGCATGTGTCCCCAGTTCAATAACAACCTAAACACCTCTCTTCTGCAAGTAGTGAGAAAAATCTTATGCATTATTTATGTGTTACGATGAATTTATCTTATGCTTTAAGGAAGCATGTTTCCAAACATGGAAGATTGAGCATGTGGTCCAGATGATGAAAGAAAAGCTTTGCAGCAGGGGGTGGGGACAACACAGAAAGGAAAGATGGTGTTTTGAAAGGAAACTTCGCAATAGTAAAAGTGAAAAAACATTAGGTATGCATGTTGATGCATGATCTCTTGAACATACACACACAGGCATGTGAGTATATGTGTGTGTTTATTTTTTTTCTTTAGACATATTGAGGATATTGTGAAGATGTGTATTCTTTCTTCACCATGCTCTACCACGGTTGTGGATATTTTATACTTCTGCTTACATATTTTGAAATTCAGTGGTTGTGCTTATCTTAAAACATTTGTTAGAATAAAAAGAATCACAGAAATTTCAAAGTACATACAGTTTAAGCACTTCAGAGGTTTAGTTTAAGCAATCCAGTGAATTGTCAGTACACATTAATGTAGTGTCTCCCATTGTTAAGGAATTATTTGGAGAATATGAAATGAAGACATTTTTTTCAGCGCTCTGTGAAGCTTGCATAAATCAATCTAAGTGTAAAGATGAAATGACAGTGATATCTAGGATTACTTCAGTTATTTAAGAATAAAGCATTCAATGAAACTATTGCATTTGCCTCCAAGTTAGAAATCTAAATCAGATTAAATTATATATAATCTATTAAATTATGCATTATCCATTGGATTTTTATTATTTTTCTTTTATTTATAAAGAGTTGTACTAATTGTCAAAATACCGTTATCTGTTATCTATTTCTAAAAATATCTTTTGAAGAAATATTACCAATATTGTATGTAACACATTCTATCAGGAATCTTGCTTTGGTAAGAAAGGCTAGGTCCCATAATTTTTTTATTAATTGAACATAATATAAAAGTTCTGAATGAATAATCTTTCACAAGAATGCTTAGCTGTGGAGTGGTTTCTTCACTAGTGTAATAGAAATCTCAGAGATATCTAGAGATGGAAGTAGTGTATTTTAAAATTGCAAATGTTTTCTAGTTATACACAAAAAATTATTTTTGGAGTACTAAAATGTGAATTTATGTTATTTCAAATAGTACTACATGTATGAAAGGTTGTATAACATCTGCACTATCATTATAAATGCGCATAACTGGTAAGAAATATTTTACATTGATGTTTTTAACAATAAGCCTTAACTAAAACTAATATACAGCTAGTCCAGTTTCAGTGCTAATACTGAAAGAGAACTGCTCATTCAAGATTTTTTTTTAATTTGAGAGTCAGAGAAAGATATTTGCCATCCTCTGGTTCTGTACCCAAATGCCCCCAACAGCCAGCTGGGTCTGGGGCAGACTAAAGCCAGGAGCCAGGAATTCAGTCCAGGTCTCCCATGTGGGTGAAAGGGCCTCAAGTACTTGAGACATCATCTGCTTCCTCCTAGGGTATGCATTAGCTTAAAACTGGTTTTGGGAGTGGAGCAGAAACATGAACGCAGGCACTCCATTGTGGGGTGCACATGTCTCAAGTGATATCTTAAGGACTTGGCCAAATCCAGCCATTCATTCATGATTTTTCAGGGTCCATTCAAGAAATAATATGATGACTTCCTTCTGATAAGGATTTCAAGAGGCATGTTTTTAAATTCATAAAGTAGAAATGTATTGCTACAGTAAATAGAACTTGCAGATTTTTCTAAGCCACACAGTTATCTTAGAAACACATTGCTCAACTTGTGTAATTGTAGCATACACTGGTCAAATGTAGAACTTTTTTTTTCTATTTCAGAGTGCTATTATTAGATTTTAAATTAAATCTACCTCATTGCCTCACCCAGAAATGACTGCAAGAATGCCACTGGGGTTGTTCAGTCCCTCCCCTGCTTTTCTTTCTATTTGTTATTGTGTAGTAATAAGATCTATAAATTTTCCCCCTATAAAACTCAGTGCTTTAAAGTATTCCAAGCTTTTTTTTCCAAAATGCTCATGGTTCTCATTATTTCTAAAGTGTTATGAATAAGAAATACCCATCTAATTCATATCCTTGGACTAGAAATGCACACTGTCCTGATCATTCTTCATTTCTATGATTATTTCCCACTGAGGAACCAGAATTGCACATTCAATACTTTTGTACTTTCAGTTCTTAATTTAATATTCTTCTTGATGATTCTTAGTAGTTTAGGTAAACATACTACATAATTTTTAAAGTGCAATTTCCTGTGGATGTTGTTGAGACCAAGTTAGATATTTTAACAATTGTAGATGGTGTTAAAATATAAATGTCTCCCAAACTAATGGTAATTTGGTTACTAAAAAAAATAGTATTGTACTTTATTCAAAAGTTAAAGGAATACAGAAGCAATTTTTTTTATTATTTTTTTTAAACAGGCAGAGTTAGAGACAGAGAAAAAGGTCTTCCTTTTTCCGTTGGTTCAACCCCCAAGTGGCCGCTACAGCTGGCGCACTGCACCGATCCAAAGCCAGGAGCCAGGTGCTTCCTCCTGGTCTCCCATGGGGTGCAGGGCCCAAGGACCTGGGCCATCCTCCACTGCACTCCCTGGCCACAGCAGAGAGCTGGACTGGAAGAGGAGAAACCGGACAGAATCCGGCACCCCGACCGGGACTAGAACCCAGGGTGCTAGCACTGCAGGCGGAGGATTAGCCTAGTGAGCCACGACGCTGGCCCAGAAACAAATTTTTAAGCTACCAGTTAAGATACCCATATCCCACATCAGAAAATCTGGGTTCAATACCCAGCTCCACTGTCTGGCTCCAGTGTCTGACTCCAGCTTCCTGATAATGCAGAGCCTTGGAGCCAACAATGATGATTCAAGTAACTGGGATCCTGTAACCTGCAGCTCATGCTGCACTTCTCTCCTAGCCTTGCTGATGCAGGCATTTGGGGAATGAACCAGCATATAGGGAGTCTATAATCTCAATCCCTATCCCTATCTTTCTCTCTCTCTCTCTCTCTCTCTCTCCTTACATTTCCAATAAACAAGTAAATTTTTTAAAAGAGAATAAAATAGTGTGAACCTGATTTATGTTCTAATTTCATTTCTTTGAATCTGAACCATACTTTTCTCTCTAATTTTCCTTTCATTCTCCTATTTGTTTATTCCACATTCAATGTGTATTTGAAAGTACACTATGTGCTAGATATATGTTTAGGTTTTGGAGACACAGTGGCAAACAATACACAATTCCTCATTTCAAACTCTTAAATATAGTAGGTAGATAGTTTAGTAAAAACCGATTACAATATCATGTAAGCACAAGGTGACACGAAATCACAAAAAAGGATCATATATGTTAACTGGTTGGATTAGAAACCATCTGAAGAATATAGGAAGGCAAACAGAAGGAAATGAAATCCTAATGCAATTGGGTAATGAGGCAATATTTTCCAAGTGAGGAGGTGGAAGATGGTATTTTAAGCATTTCTGTAGGTCAAGAATGAAAAAAATTGGATTATACATGTATGTATGGAGATAGTAATGAGATAGAAGTTTAGAAAGTGAATATGGTTCAAGAACACAAGAAATTTCAAGTTCTCCATACTAAATATCATAAGAAGCAAATGAAGTCTTTAAGCAGGAGAATAACTTAATGAAATTTATGCTTCAGAAATTTTTTTTTGCTCTAATTGGAGTGTGAACTGGAGGTAAGGTTAAGATAAAG